TGTAAGGAACTTGTTGGATTTGAATATGCTGTCACGTTTACCTTAACTCATTTTTATCAGAAGAAAATAATATTTCAGCTTTTACAGGAACAAACTTTGTTTGAAATAGTCATCTGCAACTCTAAGATTTAATAGGAGACTATTAAATCGGATGACATAACCTGACAACTGTGCTGTGCCATCAGAGTTCCCAAATGAAAACTGCCGGCAATGTCTCATTGTAACTTTTGCCCATAGCAGGCAGAAGAGGTCATATTATCTCAGAATAGTTCAAGCCCCCCAAAACTGACTTCAACTTCTTTACTAACCCGATTTACAAGACAGAAATATCTTCCCTGTGGTAACAATACAACTCTTGCAAATGCGAAAGGGAATTTTTACAGATCATACATTTTCCAGTATTTAAGAGACATTTTGCTTGCCAGGATATTTCAACTCGGCACCAAATAAACAGTCAAAAGAAAGCCACAAGGAAGCTGAAATTTCCGGTTAGAATTTATCTCAAGAGGGACACTGTCAAAAGAAGTGGCCTTGAGCAAGATCAAACTCTCTAACATGGTAGGCTAGAACTGAAAAGGCACCATAGCAAGAACAAGTTGTTTTAACGTGGTAGGCCACTGTCAGGAGCTACAGCTCTGTGAAGCACAAACCCATGAGCTTGTCCAAGATTATTTTTATTATGAAAAACACCTAACTGTGATATGAAATTTTACATATAATTAAATACCTTTTTTCCCCTCTAACCACTTTCTATACTACTTATCAATCCTTGATAGCTCGATGAGGCCCTATTGCAGAGCAGTATGCAGTTAGGAAGTTGCAATTATACCATAAAATTTTTCATTAAATTGAGTGTTCTACTGTCTTCAAAAACTTCTGTATGCTAAAATAAAATCTGTACATTTTATTTCTAGAAGATATATCAGGGCCTCTAAAATAGATACTTGTAATGCAAACTATTAAAAAACTGTGCTTGAACAGTTTCTGTACCTCTTCTTAAACAGTGAGACCAAACATGAGGAATGAAGATGTTCAAGCAGGCTTGATGGCAAACCACTTTGCCTAGGGGAACAGAAGCAACTCGGCACAGCCAGCGTACCAACTGTTCCTTGGTCCACCTCACAGAGAAGCCCAGCAACTATAACTAAGTCTCAGCAACACTTCGTATCACATGCCAGTTTTTAGATCTTTTTTTGCTGTGTCTAGTAACAAAAATTGGTAAAAATCTCAAGCAGTATCTTAACTGGTTGTGAAACACTGATATGTAAGCACCTGTATAAAATTTAACACACTTGTGTTTAGGCTAATCCCAATATCTGTAATGTTTCCTTGGAAACCGAAAAATCAATCAGCTAATCATTTAATATCATACTTTACTGAACAATCCACTATGCAACAGTGATTGGATAAACCTCACTCTAAAATCTGCAACGCTTTAACTGAATATACACCTTGCTACTCATACTCAGTTTTACAATCACTTGATTTCCTAAACTTTTTTCCACTTGTCAGCTCTATAGTATTTCAGAAGTGGTTATCTCTACTTAGATGAAACATCAGAAGTATCTACATTGAGTTTAATTTGCAGAATCCATAATTCACAGAAGCTAATTAGCATGCTATCAAGATGACACTACAGTTGCTAGTACCATAGCTATCTTTTATCTGTATTATCCATTTTCAAATGGATTCCCAAGCATCAGATAACTGAGTTACTCCACAGCTTACTGACCTTCTTCCAAGGAGCAGACTACTGGATGTGAATTAGTGTTATTAAAATTCACATTATAAAATTGCTATAAAGCCTGTGTTACTGAAATCATAACACTTAGTTCTACTGAAAAGATGAATTAAATGCAAAATAAGTCTACAGGTAAAAAAAGGTTATAGTGATACTGATCATAAAACAATTTCATTGCTGGATTGCCAGAGACTGATTTGTTCTCCAGGACTCTCAGAAAGGATATATAACCTTAAAAAAAAACCCCACCAAAAACAAAATCCAAAAAAACCTACAAAACCAAACCAAACAAACCCACCAAAAAAAAGCCAACCAAATAAACCCCAAACAACCTACACCAAAAGAAACCCAACTCCCTCCAAACCTCAACAACTTCAGTATTTCCTGAGGGTGAAAAACTCACACAGCCTGTCCTCAATTGTCACTCATACAAATATACATACATAAAATCCCACAAGCAACTTCAATCTTCTTGCTTTAGTATACATTATATATACCTCATTTAATTTAGACACTGGTAGTTTGGAATGCAGCATTCTAGTGGCAAAGCACCAGGACAGTTTAAATTCCAGTGCCTCAGCATCAGGGGAACAGATTAAACTCTTTCAGCTAGTCCACTCAGGTTGTTCATCCTCTATGTAGCATCCAACTTTTGGACAAAACCAGAAAAAGTGTACTATGATCCAAGAAAGCATTAATAATCATCTTCAGCACAAAATATAGGTCAGTTCTAATTACAACTTATTAAAATGGAAGTTTCAGCTACCCCTTACACGTATTTTTAAACATCTCAAGAGAAACATAGAAAGAAACACAGCTGGAATGAAACTGCACAGGAATACTGATCCCAGAGACTTTTATATGGGTGCCAGAGTTTCTGTGTAAATACATCATGCACATGTGTAGAAAAACCTCGGGTATGGAGAATGTGAGCAGAGGAATGATGACATCTTCAGTACTTCAGCTAGGCAGCCATAAGCACTCAAAAGGTATTTGTGGTCGATCTTATATATGCCTTCCCATCAGTTTGCAGATGAGTAAGTAAGTACTCTTGCAGAAATTTCAACGCTTGTTTAACTTCCGCTGATTTTATCTAGGAGCCTTCTTTTATAAACACACCCCTAAAATTTCACAGCATTTTTGCTTGAGAGTTCAATTTCTTCCAAAAATGCCAGTAACTTTTGTGACTGAGTACCTCCAGCTGTTTCTTCTCAAACTGTTAATACACTGTCTTCTGGTGAAAAATAATTGGATGCTCAAAAAAATAATCTATGTTAGTGAGATTTCTTTAACACTTTGCAATATCAAAACCAGGTCTATATATCCAGCAAGTATTTGTTACTTCTACTAGTTTTTGTACTTCAAAACAGTTGGATATGTATCTGGAAAAAGGCTATGACATAGAGGACAATCTGGTGGTGTTTGAGTACCCGGAAAAGGGGGAAGAAGAATCTATCACCTCTGATGATGGAACTTCTATTTGTTGTCCTCCACTCAGTCCTGGCCCTCTCCTCCACAAATCAGATCTAATCACTGTTAACTCTTGGACTGCACTATTTCTGCAGCCATTGATGACAATCGGTGGGTTTCCTTTAAAATACATGGTCTAGGTTGTTCCTATGGAATTTCTGTCCTGGTCATCAGTTTATCTGCATCAGGAACACATACAGCTCTTTGTCATATGCATCACAAAATAGACCTCAGCTACAGCTGGCAGATACGTGCCATATTTATTCAAGTTACAATGTACTTAATGGTGCTTTTGACTACCTTCTCTCTACTACTCAGTGGTTCAGGTCATCACAGTAAGCTGATAAACTCCGGTGTTACGGTAACATTTGGCATATTCATCCTCAGAAAGATGGTATTTGCTCTTAAGCTGGCAGTCCAATACACGCAAACTCAAGACCCACACTAAGACATCTGGCAATGGATTCCCCCCACTTAGTAACTATATTCATGCAGGAGAGACTGGTTTTATTTCTTTCTTTTCTCAAATTTTCCAAAAGGAAACACAAGTTCTCACTCATTTCAAGCCCGTTCACATAGAAGAAGTAACATGGCATAGCTTGCATTATGAATCTTACTGTCTTCCTTAAGACAGCCACCAGGCCTTAAAATGAGGGAGTCATAAATGTTCACAGCAATACAAGTACATACTGTAATATCCAGAAAAGTAGTTTGCTCTTGTTTGAATATATTCTGTGAAATTGTTTAATTCACAGAAACAATTTCTAGCTAGATGTTACTGAGCACTGCAATGATACACTGTAAAACTGGGCCTTGCATTTGTCCTGTTTTTTTACTCTCCAGCTATCACTTTGCAGTCCAGAACCTGAGAAAGAAACCTAAGTCGCCACACTCCATTCATCAGAAACAAAAGATTGCAGAGTCCAGAATTATAAGGGAATGGCATGTAGGGAAGGCTGCATCTACTGTTTAATCTGCTTGACAGAAGAGATCTTCAGCAGGGTTTATCAAGTGACAGAAAATAAATATTTACCATATTTTTGAGAGAAGTGTCACCCAAACTCATAGTTAAACTTCTACGGTCATGATTAAATACCAATATCACAGGAGAGCTCAGCAGAAGAGGAAAGGATAAGTCCTTGTTAAGACCCTATTTTGCTATTTCTATTAAAACCATGTTTTAATGCAACTTCAAAGAATCCTATGCCCATATAGTTCCTTTTTAATTTGTTTTGTTTGAAAATCCAAGTAATTAGTCAAGAAAATTATAGTGACAGTAATCAACATACATCAACAGGCATCATTCAAATTATTGCTTAAATAACCATTCTAAGCAAACAGAGAACTTCCACTGTCGTATCAACTTCTGAAAATACTAATCAAAGAGAAAGCTTGGTATTCATCAGTGCAGATAGTGTTAGAATAGGCTCTGCTGCATAAATTTAAAAAAAAGAATTACTGTATAATTTCTCGGCGCATACGTATATACACATGTGCATACACATGTGTATGTATTTATAAACACACACACAATTAAGAGTGTTGTCCACTCACTCTTAACCTGGACTAAGTGGTGAAAAACTAAGGGCAGCTCAAACAAATTAATGTGTACATGCACTAATAATAACAGGTACATGCACTTCATTAATAATAATGAAGGAACTTCTGTTTTAGCCTCAAGTACAACAGAATGAGTTGTTACTTAAATTGTAACATTAAATATTAATAAAGTCAACTGCAGTAGAAATACAACGACCCATACCTTAGCAAAAAACCAAATAATACATACCTTCACTACAAAAGGGTCTTTTGATACCAGAGAAATTCACCGTCTCATGCAGCGTTTTCTCTTCTTGACAGTATTCACAGTATGTAACTATGCAGTGCAGTTTCTTATAATCATCAGAACATGCTCTGCTGCAGAACTGATACACTTTGTTCTAAATGCAAAGTTGCAAAGCATCATGAATAGGGTTAATGGATAAAATCTTAAAGGTCTGGATAGTCCAGCTTCAAATAATAGATGCCATTAAGACACAACTTGCAAAGCAAACAGAAGTACGAGCACACAATTAGAGTATTACTTCTAATGCCAAAAATAAATCTCAATCAAGCTGACAGTGAGTGCTACAAATACTCATCATTTCGCATGAAAATACTGAACAAAAAATATGCCAAATGACCTTAGCATATCCACTTTAGATACTTCCCTCAGTTCAGAGAAGTTTAACAATGGTCTATCATATCTACAATAACTGAAGATGAAAGCAGACTTCAGATTTACAGCTGATCTGAGAAATTACATTTTTATTTAAATTCAATAGATACTATTTATGAACAAAAACTTCTGCTTTTTTCTTAATTGAAATAATATTATACAGAACCAGGTAGATTTTATTAACTGAATTTTTAAAGCTTCAATACTTTATAAAATAGCTATCTAGAAAAACTGTGTTGCAGTTCTAAGTGCAAAAGTTTAAACACCTCATCATTCTAAAAATAACATAAAAAACCTCCTTACCTCCCATTCCAGCACTTCTGGCTTTGAACAAAAAGAACTTTTACAATAATTACATTTCAACTGAATATCACTGGGAGAGACAAACTGACCATTTGTTGAAGACTGCACACTGAGAGTCTGAAAAACATAATATATAGACACATATCACTAAAAAGAAATTAACTTTTAAAATGTGGGGGTTTTTCAATTAAGTCTGTAATGTTTGAGAATTTATTGAGGTAGTTTATTTATAGACTCAGGAGCATTTCCAGCAAAAGCAAAGCAGGTTGGTCTTCTACCTTAATTACTTTTCTCTTGTCATCTTAGGTTTTCCAATTTTGAGTCTCCACCATAATTACTTTGAGTTATCTTTCTTTCACCTTACCTTTCTAATGCCTGTTATTTAAGGGCAAATAAAATTTTGCAAAAATGAAAAAACCAAAAGTCTCCCAAAACTGAACACCTGTTAATCACAAAACATTTATTTTCAGAAAAATACATTTCACAGCTTGCATTATGTTGTTGGACATATGAGTTCAGACAAAGACCCACAAATATTTTCAAATCCAAACCTCATCAAGGCAGATTATCAACACCTTACCTAAGCATACCACTTGAAAATACAAATACTAAAGTAAAAGTCTTCTAGTGAGAAACCTTGCATTTACTCAGACTAAGAAAAAACTAGTTAGCAGTCCTAGCTAATCTCAATCACTACGGCAGGAAGATGCAATCATTCGAACAGCCAGACCCTAAACAATTCAGTTTTAATTCTCAGTTTTAAGACTGAGAAAAATACTATAGATTGCATGTGTAGGTATGAGAATTTAATTCTGTAACTGAGTAATTTCCTTAATGCATTTCAGAGCCAATTAGCAGATAACAACTCAATTATACATTACCTTTGCCTTCCAGTAGGTCTTACATGGCTACAGAACACAATCTTTTTGCACATTCCCTGATCAAGCAAGAACTATTGGTGTATTACACACGCAGTGTTCAAGACACAAATTTGAATCAGTAGTGATCACAGACACTTGAAGAATCCAGGACAAATTTCTTACATCTGTCTTCTCAACACACTTTCCCACACCGTTTGCAACAAGACAAATTATTTAAAGACCTGTTCTCTTCAGACAGATTTGTTACTACCTCCCTACCTTGTAACAGTGAAAATTTAAAACACTTCTGTAAGAGGACATTTTTCTTTACACTCTCATGTCACTAAAGGTTCACCTACAGTAAAAAATTAAAGAAAAAATTGTGATGAGACTTATTACTGATATAAACCCTGACATAAGTGGTCTGGTACTGCTGAGTTCTAGTCAGCACTGCAAACAGCATCATTTTACGCAGATGCATTAATTCTGTATCAGGAGTTTGCAGACATTAAGTAGCCATGCACATTTCCCAATCATCAACAGGACCTGAGAACCAAATGCCATGCTGCAGAAAAGATGACACCCTTATTCCAATGGCCCATTGGCTCATAACAACTTGAGCACAATCTGATGCCCACACACAGTACTATTGTATTTTACCCAATATATCCAGCAAATGTCTCTGCTCTTGAGCAAGCTTTGCTACAATTTGGCTGCTCAAAATAGGTAACTGAAGACTTCCACTAACATGGGAGCCACTAAGGCATTTTAAGTGCAAGGCCCCATCCGTGCATTTCTGCATTTGCAGGTTTCTTCACAGAGCAAACACCATGCTCAACACATGCTGCCATATGGGTTTTGCAAGCACAATGCAAGTCCTAGAAGCTCTGGTTGGAAACAAAAAGACATCAAGAAGCAAGCATACCCACTGTCTCCAGTTCAGGAATCAAGGAAACAAAGAACTAGTAGATGTGACAACTTGTACAGAAAAACTGGGACAGAGGAATGAAGATGAAATATACTAAGTTATCATCAAATGATCCCTACTTTTCATGTCTGTAATTACCTTTAAATATGGTACCAAAAGACCCCACTGTGAGGGCTAGAAGGTAAAAGTCAAAGATGGGGCTTTTGTTGCTTTCTGATATATGCCAATATTAGCTTCTTTAATGTCTTTTCCCAAATGTTTGTTGGGATAGAAATTCAGACCCACATAGTCTAGGGGACTGTAACTGAACAATAACAAAAGCCAGAGATGTGAGAACAATAGAGTTCGAGATTGTTCAAAATTAGAACTTGTTTTAAAGGGTATTTACATATAACTATTGATTTTAAAAAAACCCTAAACTATTAAGCATTACTGCTTCTAAAACAAACCCAATATTTTTTATCATTAACTCCTATGGCCAACTAAGTACTTTGCCACAGAAATCAGTAAAGAATGGAATTCCTATTACTGAAAGCTCTAAACCACGGAAAAGATAGTTTTAAAATCAACAATTCATCAGGAGATTATTTTGCATGCCTGTAAGGGACCTTTAAGAAATGTTTGTTTCTACATTGCCTAGCCTTGAGGGCTTGTTGTGGAGCAAAGGTGTGGTTGATTGCCTCAAAGCTTGCAGAGCCACAAGATGCCTCTGGTCATGGAAGTCCTCTAGCTGCTGAGATAAGGGCACCACTGTCCAACACCTACACCCTCTGAATGCCTGGTAAGGACATCCCCTCTAGCTACTGAGACCAGGAGGCACCATTGTCCAGACTGACATCACTTCCAGCTGTGAGATCAGGAGGTTGGGAATTGCTCAACTCCAGGAAAACTGACCAATCAGTGCCTGACAGAGCCCTAGAAAAAGGAGCAGCGTTCAGAGTGAGGGTGCACACCAACCACGGGAGAAAAGATGACTATGGATCATTGGAATGCTGCTCTACCTATGGTGTGACTATCCCTCTTCTACACAACTATGGATCATCTGGATCCATGGTGGTGACTACCTCTGCTTTGGCATACCAAATCCTGCATACTTCTAACTATCCACCTTTCCTGTATCTAACTTTCCTATGGCCCCTTCTCTCCCCCTTGTGTGACCAATAATAAAGTCTCATTCCCTATCAGTATTCTGACCTTCTCTGTGTCTTAATTCACAATGGGGGAATCAATCAAACACGCCAGAGACTAATCAGACCAGGACAATGCCTCTTTAAAATTTCTGTTATCCTGCTTACAATTAAGGACTGCTTCTGTGTAATATTTTAATGAGTCAAGATGACATGCATACAGTATTTTCGTCATCTTGCTTTGCTTCTACCTTAAAAGATCCAGTGTCTTTAGGAAGTATTTGGGAATATTATTTCACACAAATAACACAGCAAAAGGGATCATAAAGTCATTAAAATCTTTCACTGGCCACCCTGAACAGCAAGGCTTTACCTATATTGTGCTTTATCAAAGACATCTTTGGTGTCATGTACATACATTCACTCTTTTGAGAGCCTGTCCTGAACAAGAGCATGAAAGTTCCAAGCAGAGCCAAAAATCACTGTAAAGCCCTTTTCACCCTTCAATGCAGCCAGCTCAAACTGCCCTAAGTTGCTGAATTACTAATTAACAGTAGGAAGGCACATCCCAAGACTCTACTGGGAAGATAGTCATAGTAGCACAGCTTCTGGCCTGCCCCTGCCACCGCAACATACATGGCAGAGGGGTTATCCTTGCTCACAGCAACACAAAATCAGATTGTGGGAACATTTCTGTACATAAGCATACATGTGGAAGAGCTAGTAGGCAGCCACACTGTAGTTAGCTTTTTTTCAGTTGTGAATAAAAACCCCAACCTTTGAAACAATCAGACTGTTCTTTAATGCGAATGAGAGACGCAAACACATACATGGAATTTTCTGTATACTGGCATCCACTGGGACTGTTCCACAAGCAAAATCAAGGGCACTAAATTAAACAAGGAAGGAATCAAACACACCCCACACACTCATGTACACACAGACCTTCCAGCCTCAGCATGGAAGGCTCACTTATTTTTATTATGCTCAAATGAGACAAGTATTTGTGTGTGTGTATGTCTCTGTCCATGTGTATAAGTGAGACAAAAGGTATGTTCCAGACACCATCATGATGGTGAAAGAGAACAACATTAGTGAGTAACCAGAGTTGAGCACCCTGCTAAAAAAACATTGTACTTAAAATTCTTATGCATAACGGTCCTATGACTCTCCAGATACATCCATAAATTGGAAAATATAAAAAAAAATAAATCAAATAGATCAAAGCTTTAGCACAAATTTTCTGAACATTTTGCACAGATGTGTTCTTCAGGAGAGCTTGTACTTTCAGACACTTACACACATGCTAACTTTGGGAAGATGCTTGTACTACACCCCCCATGTCCACAATAAATAAATCAATAGTTTATTTTCCCTTAAGAGCAAGATCTTCAACTGCCCCAGTAAAGGTCCAATAGCAAAACCTGTTTAAAACAATACACCTTGGGAACAGTTCTGTCCTTAACTCTGCAATAACATCCTCCAAGACAGAGCATGAAAGACAAGATACAGTCCCACTATTGTACCACCAACTACCAAACAAAAATCACAAAACAGGCTGTTCACCCTCTTTCTTCTAAGGATCTTGGAAGCTGGCCACACAAAGGACAATACAGATATGGACACTAATCGCACAACAAGCAGCTTAACTGAATCTTTCCAACATTTTCATTCATTAAAAGAACAATTAGCTAGAAACAAAAGGTTATTCGTAAGATAAAATTATAATCAATCCTAAAGTACTTTAAACAAATTGGGAATTTTAGTATTCCAGCCCATTTGTAAACCAAAAGGACTAAAAATTTTGCAGAAGGGAGAAGACACAGACCTGAAATAGCAATTATTCTGTTCTGAGAAGGATAATTCTGAAAGAAAACTGACTAGGAAGAACAGGCACAGTAAGAAAAATAGGATGAATATAAAGCAAGAGTTATCTCCATTTGTAAACAGTGTGAAAAATATGGAGCACCATAGTAAATTGGCCAGTTTGTAAATTTAGGTTCAATGCCTTAAGTGTCACTTAAGCATAAAAGAAGCCTCAAGGGAACACCTATAGTCCAATGCTCACAGTGTGGTATACCTCCCTTTCCACCTAAATACTAAATGAACAGAACAAAGAGGCTGGTCTCATACATTTAACTCTTATCTAATGGTGAATACATTTGATTCTTCTACACAGTGAATACACAAAAACTATCAAAAGTTTAAATTTGACAGCACTCTTTGAGCATTAACTGTAAGCAGGTGACCACCTACCCATTCTTGGTCACTACTGAGAACTCACAGACTGCAGGACTACTTGAATTAAACTCCACTACAACACTAAAGAGACTTACATGCAGCACTGAAACTGCCACAGAGGCCATCAGGCAAGGTCTCTGTAAGAGAAACCCACAACCAACACCATCTGATCTGGCAGTTGTATTCAATAATGTTGCTTACTGTTGACTTATGTGCAAATCCAAGAAGGCCCAGGTTGTATTTGGCATTCCTTATCTTTATTTGTTCCAAGAGCTCATGGGGCTGCAATTAATTGTGAGATCATGTACAATAAAATAGATGCTAAATGAGTTTGCAAGAAGTATTACAGATTTGTCATTACACACTAACAATCTGCAGCTATTCTGTTAATCAGTTCCACTGACATCTACCGAATTGGTCAGGATGGAAACGCAAAACATAGCTACATGATGGAGGTCTTATCCAGGGTATCTTAAGGAAGCAATTCCTTTTGATTGATTTCCTGTCCAGCTGACAGAAAACATCAAAGTTCAGTGACAAATGGGAAACCTTGTATGGGTGTACCTGTTCCAACACCACATGAGGAAGCAATGATCAATTGCACAGTGTGCATCTAGGAAACCTGTTTTTGTATACAAAAATTGAAATATTTTCTTTAAAAATACACTTTGATCACCTAGAGATTAATCACTCCAACACTTTTCACATGTGCCTTAACCTCAAGTCATATTGAAGACATGACATTTTCAACAAGCATAGCAGCCTCTTCAGTGTGCCTATCATTAGCCCTGCAACACTCCAGTGTCTGAACATAATTTAAACAGCTTAGGCTCTAACCTTTCATTTCAGAAACAATCACTATTCCCCATGGCAGACCTTTACCACTACTATATTCAATATAAGCATTTTGCTACTGTCTTTAGTATAAAAGACAATAAAACTGTTGATCTTCAATGTAAAACAGCAAGGCTCACCTCCATGAAGAGGCTGAGATGGTAAAAATAAGATGAACAGTGATAGTGCTTTTTGTTTTCTTATGGTACCAAGGAAAAATTGGTTGGTATTATCCAATTTAGTAAGTTTAAGACAGCAGTGAGTGTTATCATTATGAAACAGTACTCTGATCAAAGAAACTGCTATGAGCAATAAGCATCTTCTATGTTAATTATAACTCATAAGCATGTACATACAAGCAAGTTAGTTCAATTCGCAGATAGTTAGCACAAAAACATAGGCACACAAATATTTAGGGAGGAGAAGATTTAACACAACAGCTAACCTGAAATTTAGCTACACAACTGGAACTGCAAAAGCTGCACAGTTTTCCATCAGGCATTGTGGCTTGATATTGAGGTAAGGAGTTTCGTTTACAAAAGTGGCAAATAATTTCCATACCTAAAAGAAAAACGTAGTTTACAAACAAAATAAACACAAAATAGTAGAACAAAAAAAAAGAAAAGGATTACAGGTCAGCCCTTTCTACTACTTCAATGTAAAAAACTAAGATTTGTCTGTTTTTCAGTCAGCTTCAATGAGTCACACAAAACAAACAAAATTGCAGAGCTTCTGATGAATACTTTCACTAAGGACCAGCATTATATATGAAACTGCACCTTCTTCCATAAAATTCACTAGAGCATTTTCAACTTCAAGTTGAGATGACTTCTTTGCATATTGAAGAACACACATTTCTACTATTATTTACCAGTTATTTACCAGTTCCTTTCACCTGAACTAAAAACTACAGAAGATGCATTATAACTACCTCCCTCCTTCTCCATCTGTTGCTTGAGGAGAAAAAAACAGGTTGGGGCTGGATCACAGCCAAGAGAATGTGAATTCATATTCCCCAAAACTGCACTATCATTCTGTGACACATCAGAGCACATTAGGTCTCAGCATTTTCCACAAGAAGCCTTAAGACAGTTGAAAACTGTTTCCTATATCAAAAAAAAAAGCCAGTGCAAAAAAATGACCCCTCATAGGTCCACTTACTGGTGTTGAATAAGAGATAGTCTTCTTTTACTTCCTTTCAAAAAAGAAGATCAAACCCCCTAGAAAGTCGCTTCTGCATAGACTAATTGTAAAACAAAACCACCCGCCCCCAGTGTTCAAACTTTTAAAAAGAATCTACTCTTATCAGTGATGAAAATCCATCATCCTTTTCACTTACTTTGTGATTTTGCGTATTTTGGTTTGTTTGTGTTGATGCATAAAGTTGAGCAGTATGGCTTCATATATCCATTAGGTCCTATGCACTGAGTCATGTCAAAAAACCTGCACTGAGCTTTGCAGCCAGTACAAGGTATTAATTTGCCACATTTCTAAAACATAAAACAAAGCAAAACAATGCATTAGTTAAAACTATGCTTGGCTTCTGATTTTTCAATTATGGTCTAAAAAAAAAGCAGAGTGGAAAACACTTATTTCTGCAATCTGCTCCCCCATCAGATCCTTCCTATACCAACTCTCATGATCATCCTCTCAAGAGCATTCAGCACTATGGTTGGGCCTACTACTCCTGGGAAAAGCCCGCTAAACCTAACCTCTTGTGTAAAGCCAAACACACATACACACATCCCCTTCAAAAAACTGCAACCAACCAAAAAAACCCAATCCAAACCCCACCATCTGCAAACTGTGAACTGCGGTAAGAGCATGCAGCAAGTTGGGCTGAGTTGGAGAGCTTGAAACAACTGTTTCTCTCTCCTTGTTAATGGAACAACAGTTGCAAGGAAAGAAACATCAATCTGGCATGGCACATATGATTCACAGAATCAGTAAGGTTGGAAGGGACCACAGTGGGTCATTTGGTCCAACCTCCCTGCTCAAGCAGGGGGAATCCTAGAGCACATTGCACAGGATTGTGTCCAGACAGTTCTCGAGTATACACATTGAGGGAGACTCCACAACCTCTCTGGGCAATCTTTTCTAGTGTGCAGTAACTCACACAGTAGAGAGGTTATGAAGAATAAATAATGGTCCTAAACTTTAAAAAAAAGAAAATTAAAAAAATTGTGCTCTCCAATCCTCCAGGCAGGAGGAACACACTGTAGAGTTTCTGTGCTCCTTATTGAAGCCAACGAGGAACTGTGACTCCATGAACCTGGTAACAGACTCAATTTTGACATCGCTCAACACAGCAGTCAGTCCATCAACCGTTTTCCACAGAATGGAACAAATGTTCTATAAAAAGCACAGAAAAACTGCACCAAGCAGATATACCAATGACACAGTCAACATACAAAATCAATAGTTCTGATGTGCTACATGTATTACATACGCCAGTTAGACAAGTATCTCAAGCACCATAAAGCAAGTTTCAGAAATCTAGACACCTTCCCTGCCCATAGAAACTATCATAGCTTGGACAGTGATCACAGAAAATTCCTCACTTCTACAGCAATGAGACTCCTATCAGACAGACTCGTGCCTTATTGCGTATTAGTAAAGACCCTAATCGTCACATAGGCACTTAAGATTTTTTCCCTTCTGCTGAGAAATTATTTTGGCACTACCTCTCCTCTCTTTC